GACCCTGAATCCACCTACGAAGATGCAGATGAATGTTATGAGTTGATTGGGGCAGATCGTAAGTCTACCCTAGCTGATCTTGCGAAAACTTTTGAGGATCCGCTTACAACCGATCCAGAAAAGAAGCTTCGTCTTGCACTTCTGCTCATTGTTGATGGAGTTCTCATTGCTTCCAGCCAGACTCATAGGCCAACTCCCAGATATGTTGGTATGCTTCATGACATTGACTCTTTTCTTGATTTCCCATAGGGCAGAGAATCCTTTTTGAAGACCATATCATCGATGATCCCCGAGTTAAAGACGTCTATAAAACCAACTGTCAAAAGACCAAGGATTCAGGGGAAGGTCACTAGCCCATTAGAGATTTTTACAGAACAATTGCAGCAGAAGTCCCTTCGATTGCAAGGATTCCCTCTCTCACTTCAGTTGGTATCTTATCACAACATTCCCGCTTTACTCGACAAGATTCCGGGGTCAGCTGATCCTCGCACATTCTTGGATTGGCATTCAATTGGTATTCCGAAGAACAACCTCCCATTAACTGATGTTCTGGCTGTTGAACGTGCACCTAATGTAAGTACATTGTCCCCCCTTTATACTCATATGTTTTATTTCAAATTTTTGTTAGAGTTTACTTTTGTATACTACCAGTTTATGTTATTAATTTGTTTTTGCAGTTATCTGTTTCCCCAGTTATCCATATTGATCCGCCTGAGGAGGGTTGGGGAGAGTGGGACGATGAGGTGAAGGACAAAAAAGTTTCTCATTTACTTTCGCTCATTGATGAAGGCCATGTTTTCACCAAAAAGGAGTGGTCTGGCGGCGATTCTTCACTGCCCTACATTTCCTTTGACGACAAGAAGGATAACGTTGTCCACCGGAAGCATATTGTGCCTATGCGTAAGCAAGTGTCTGGGAAACTTAGAGTCAAACAATCCCCATCCAAACCTTGTAGATCTTCTTCTTCAAGTTGCCTCCCTTCTGACAACACTGCTTTCGAAGATTTCAAATTGTATGTGGACAAAGAGTTGGTTTCTATGAGGAAAGAGTATGACAAGATGTTTAGAAAATTAACCGCGCAGAACAAGAAACTTCGTAACAAGCTCAAATCCCTTCGGTTTCATCGTCACCGGAGACTACACCTTCCGCGTCTTAAGAAGTTTGCTGCATCTGTTGTACAGCCTAAGAGTAAAGAAGAAGTAACAACCATGGTCCCCCCAGCTCATCTTTCTCCTCGGATTACAGAAGAAGAAACAAAAATAGTACCCCCAGCTCATGTCTCTCCTCGGACCCCCCCCAACCCTACAATTAATTCTCTTGATATAGATGTTCGATCTCCTGAAGACATTTTTGAAAGTAGACACAACTGGAATCAATATGCGTCTCCCTCACCCAGCAATGAAGGGAAGAAGGTCAGCTTTTTCATACTTCTGTTATATGTCCACCTATATCCATATCTCTCTCCTCAAAAATTTTTTACTGTTTGCCAGTTGGGTGTTCTTGGGGATGTTATTGGGGAAGAGGTATCTGGCGGTTCTGGCTGCCATCCTATTTATGACACTGAGAATAAGAGTTCATATCCTCATTCTCCCCGATATGACTCTGTCACCAATCCCCAGGTTTAAAATTCTTTTGCAGTCCCCTTCAAAACTGAATTTTGTTTGATATATTGTACATTCTACTCATTTTTTTTTACTTTCTTCTGATGAAAAATTAATGTGATCCATCCTCTGTCCAGGGATTCACTCCTTACACTACTTTGTTACAGGGGATTATGGATATTGGGAAGGTTATCCATATTATCTGTGTTTATTCCTTTAGATTTTTTCATTCTAACTACCTGCTACCTTTACATTTTCTGTGTTTTATTTTATCAGGGCAATGGCGAATCAGGATCCACGTCATTTCATCAAGCTCCTGTTGATGGTAATGTGGAAAGAACACTTATTCAAACTGAGGTAAATCACTTTTTAAATGATACTCCTGATACTGCATCCACGATACCCTGTACATATGGATTTTCTCGGTTACCTTTTATGCTTTCTTTATAATAACCTTTTTTTTTTCAATCAAGGCTGAATCAGGATCACCTATTCATCAAGTACATACTGATGTTAGTCCTGAAACTACACATCCCCCACCAGAGGTTTCATTTTCCCTTTTATTTTTGTTTCCACGTCCATCTGACCACATCGGAATGTAATTTCCTTTTTTGTTTGTTTGACCTTGCCCTTTTTTATTCAATCATAAGGTTGGATCCCGCACCATAACCATTGAGAACAGACTTCCACCTGAGACAACAAAAGAAGATGTCCCTCAAACAGAGGTTTACACCTTACTTCCTTATCCACTTTTACATACTGTTTCTGCGAACAATCTTTCACCATGAACAGATGCTTCAGGAAACGCACTTTAATGAAGCTCAACTCCGTGTTGATGGAACAAGCTTTCCACGTGAGACAACAGAAGATGATGCCCCTGAGACAGAGGTTTGCATGGAATACACCCTCCATACCTTACTATCCACATGGATCTGTTTGTTTTTTGTATCCACCCATCATTGTACATTTGTTTATCCCTAAACATATTCTGCAGCTCAACAAAGGTGAATCCCAGATCAATATGCAGAAAACGCATGATATGGAAGCACCACTCACCCTTCCTCCTGAGATAACAGAAGATGATGCTCCTGCTCCTCCTCAAACAGAGGTTTACATCATTTTTCATTGCAATACGTATTACATGTCCTTCATTTTTTACCATTACATTTCATGTTCAACTTATGCTACAGGTTATCAATAGTGAACCACATATCAGTCAGGAAACAAGAGTACCTGACACAGGGGTATTGACAGTCACTTTCCAGATATTATTAACTATATCCATGACAACATATCCACACGGATTCATCCCATTATCACTCATGTCTGGTATATGACAAATGTTTCAGGTAGATGAGATATTCTCTTCACAGTCACGCACACTGGTTATCTTTGAGGTACTACCATTACGTTTTTGTAATTTTCATTCGCTTCTTCATTTTTTTAACATGTCATCACCACATTTATACGACCCTCCTATGAGAAGGACCCAACCCGTAATTCCCAACCACCTAGCGAGTCTCTAGGGCGTGATTCCGAGCTCTGGCAGGTTTCTGTACTATCAACAAACCTTCCATCCATTACATTCATTCTGGCTATAATTTCCCTTCCTTCCTAGGTATCCGGAGAGGTAAGTGAAGATACTGAATCCGAAGAGCGTACTGAAGGAGACGATAACGAATCTGAAGAGGGCACTGCAGGAGATGAATCTGATAAGGTCATCCAGTTTCCATTTTTTCACACACATTACATAATGTAAAGGTAGCAGGAACTTACACATTTTCTTACTTCCCAGGAACATATTGATGTCAGCGATTCTTCTCCTGCCAGACCTAGGGAGAGGGGTGTATTATCTGTTTTTGAAGTAGAACTTATGTGTCTTGTATTGAATACGCGTACTCCCTCCATCTCATATCAACCCGACTTGTTGCCACGCGTCGACAGAGAGGTCTTAAAAAGTTTCATGAAAACTTTAAAAGCAGTCCCCAATACGTAAGTCTCTTTTTACTTATTTCTTCTCATACATTTACTATATAAGGAATAGTTGGTTACTAACTAACTCAATACAGGGCACACCTAACCAAATGTGGGTTCCCACTTGACAACAATTTCCTATATGCCCTTGCCAAACCAACCAATTGGGTGATTCATTTGGTTTGTTTTCTTTACTTTCACCTATAACTTAAACCACATTCCATATTTTTTGTTGTATATTTTTTGCTTATACCGATTTTAAATCCTTTTCACTTTTTTGCAGCACATGGAAGTTTTAGTTTCTTATTTGCAGAGGAGGCATGAACAAGTTCTCTCCATTGAGCGATCACGTGTCCTGTCCCCTTGGCTCGCTAATTATCTACAGGGCAAGTACAAGACTTTCAGTGTTGCTAAAATTAAGACTCGTGTTCGTTGGGACGACCAACTCCAACGTTCTTTGAATGGCTCTCCATCACAGTGGTTTGATTTATGGGACATGTTGTACATTCCTATGATTTGGGGTGACTCTCATTGGGTAGGACTAGCTATTAGCCTTCCTAATTGGTCTATAGACATTCTCGATCCGAATGTGCTTCTCAACAGCGACTCAAATGTTGGTAATTATATGGCTCCTGTTGTTGAGATGCTCCCATACATCATTCACAAATTCTGCAACCCCCCCTGCGACTCAAAGTCATGGCTTAGCACCTTTCAAGTGGTCTCGCCTAAAAGATGTCTATGTCAATGAGAGATGCGGGGACTGCGGCCCGGTTGCCATGAAGTTTCTGGAGATTTATGCAACCGGTTCTGGTGCAGAGACAATGTCTCTAATTACTGATGAGATTGTTGATGACTTTAGAGGACAATATGCTTTGGACATATACAGGGATCTCGTTGCACCGATTTACCAGTAGTATATTGTGTCCACACGCCACATATCCATTTTACACAAACTAGTATCTTCTTGTATCACCGATCCACTTGTACAAACTTGTATCTTTCTGTTTTCTCTGTAAAAACACTTATTGTCTTTTGTTGTAATACTCTATATTGTAAACTATTTTAGGATATAATTTTGTGCTAACCTATCTTTTTTTATTATTTCACATGATCAACATCCCCTTAACGTCTGCACAAACTTGTATCTTCTTATTTACAGCCTTCTTATCTGCTTTTTATAATTTTAATTACAATTTAATTACAGTTCCATCCAAGTGGCCTTCAACACACTTATTTTTACGAACCGAACATCCACATGGATATCCATATATGGATAGATGACAACCTCGAGACAAGCACTAAATTTTATTTCATTTTTATTTTTTCATCTATATATGAACACCAACCTGCTTTTGGGTATATATACTGAATCCACTATAGACTGAATCCGGAGCAAAGGTTTCCTCCTACTGTATCGCCGCTGTAATGGAATTCGCGAAGGGGGAGAGTAGCACGGATCTGACTCTGCCGATGTGTAGTTGTGGATTGCCTGCTAAGATCTTCACATCGAAGACAGAACGGAATCCTGGTAAAAGGTTTTACGGCTGTCAATTGTACAAGGTGAGTGTTGATTATTCCTGATTTAAAATAGATATCCCTACTGTTTGTTGTTCATCATTTCACCTTTTTAATGTAGGTCGCTGGTACTCAACACTGCAAATTTTTTAGGTGGATTGATATAGCAAATCATAGATGCAGCACTGAAGAATATGTTGTCGAAATTGAAGAGAAGGAGAACCTAATTCATCAACTTCGGATTGATAACATTGAAATTCGTAGACATTTCGAATATCAGTTGGAAACAGCTGAGAGAGTCATATACAGGCAACGATTGGTCATAGCTGGGTTATCTGGAATGCTTGTGTGTGCCTTCGGTGTTATTGTATTTGGTCGATTTTTGTAGTTTAGTAGACATATGTAACTCGGGTATTGTTAAGATTCTGGGTTTCTTTCGTTTATATCCATGTTTCTGAACATGTTTAGCATTATTATGAAGTTTAAAATTGGTCTTTTTTTGATTCCGAGTTTACATCGTCCACACATATCCATATTGAGCCTTCCATGTGGATTATTCCTTACATCCTTATGTCTTTGCTTATAACCCATATTAGTTCCATCTTTTTGTTTATGTCTTCGCTTTTTACGAAGTTTCTAATCTCCTTACATTGGTTCTATGTATCCATAATGTTTTACCCCCTTACTATGTCCCTTAAAACGTTCTGAGAGATTCGTGGGCTAACCCTTCAGCCCCCACCTACATACCTCAATTGTAAAAGTTGGTTACAGCTAATACCTTTTGCTTACCTAATGTTGTCATACGACATGACAATCCGAGAACTGCTATTTTCCATAGGTTGTTAATAGTGTGTTGCATACGTGTAAAAGCAACTTTACTAAACCCTACTAATTTCACATAAAACTAGGAGATCATTGTATATTTATCTTCAAAGTTATGAAGTCCCAAAACTAGGATATCATTGTATCTTGATTTTATGGCGTCCCAATCCCGCTCCATTGGTGATGTTCCTAATGATGGTGTTGTAGAGGTATTTTTTTGTACTCTGATTATTGTGTTTCTATACAATGTGTTTTATTGTTATTTAGATTGTATATAATTATTTTTACAGGAATATCCACCTAACAGTATCCACATACCAGCTGCGTTGCTTGCCAAAATCGTCTCCTTAGTTGGAGAGGATGGTGTTGACTCGTTGAAGAATTGGATTAAAGCAGGCCCAGAGGGCAAGGAAGCTGTTTTTTCAAAGGAAACACTATCAACTGTTCGGCTAGACAAATCAGAAGATTTCCTGTGGTGGTCAATGCCGAACTCGATATACCATAACTTCTACAGCAAATGCCTAGCTGAAAACAATATGTATGCCAACTGGGCATATCTAAACAAAGCATTTGCCTTTCAAACTTTAATGGAAAGCTACCTCAAGAAGGGTCGGTGGTCACCATACCCTGAGATTTCACCCCTCCTTCAGACTCCACCCCTCCCTGAACTAGAGCTTCAAACCGATGATTTGTTGGAAGACCTAGGTGTCCTCGTTGCAGAAGAACTGCCCACCATCCCTCAAGATGTCAGCCTTTGACCCAATAAGTTCTATAACAAAACTCGCTGTTTTTTTTATCATGTTTATCTTCTGTTATGTCTTACCCTTTTTCACCTATGTTATCTGCATTAGGGTTTTTCATGTATTAGTTCATTTTCATATTTCCGTTTACTTAATTCCAGATATTAAATATGAACAATTTGTGTTTTTGTTACTCATATGGATTATAACACTTTTTTTGGATTGAGTGATTTTGGTCGGTTATGCTTCAGTGTATACGAATCCAAGATACTTTCTTTACCGTGGATACACAAAGTTATGTCGTTTGTTATAAGTAATCCGAGTGTAGTCGATGCTTTAGGGTATAGAAAGTACCGTTTATGTTTGTGAGTTACCAGTTCATCCATACACTACATAATCTGTGGATACTCTCTCCTCATGTTACATCCACCTCACAATATCCACGTGGTCGTCGTAACTCCTAAGGAAAGTACTTTTTAAAAGTGGATGAGTCCATTGCAATACACGAAGGTTACATGCTCGAAGATTCAATGTACACAATGGACAATAGTACGCGCCCAAGACATTTTGTCTGGTCACCACTATAGATTAGGGTTCCCTTCTATATTAATTAGGAATTGTTGTTGTCATATTTCATCACTTTGGTACGAAATGAACCCCGGGTATGATTACGAACTGAACCCTGAAAATGGATACGAAAGCGACGAGCCTGAATGTTCATGGCAGCCGCGAAGGATAACGGCACAAACACAGTTCTTCCTACCCAGTGCTCTAGACAGAGAGACAATCCGACCGGCGGAATCGGTTGTCTTACATGAACGAAGTCAACCCCAGCTTGTGGTAATACGAGATTTGCATCTTTCTTTTTCTAGAATCTCTATACGAACATTATCTTATACTTTATAAAAACAACGCAGGGTCCACCGGTCCCAAATCTTCATATCCCCCGCCCTATTTTGGCAAAGATTGTGAGCTACGT